TATATGTTAATTAAGACCAATAGATCAAAATGTTTCTCTCACATAATTGACTAGGCTATTGGGTCAGATAGGCTTATTATGAGCTAAGTCTGTATGTGTTCATGTATGGCTTGGCAGACAATAACAACTAAATAGTGGTGAGAAACATACACCCTGCTTTTTAACTTTTTTCCTAATTTTCCAATTCATTTTTATGGAAATTATTTTTTACTCTGTTCCCATTTATTTTATACATTTAAGATGAAATAGTTATTCCATGGGAGTTAACTATTCATTCATTTCTCTATGGTTTTATACCTTATTAATTTTACTGGTGAAAGACTTTCAGAGACAAGTTCAACACTTAGATTTACTTGAAAATAGTCCATTGATCTGAAACAGAACAAATTGCTTGTTGGACGTATCTCTTTTCATTTTAAGAAATAAATACACTGAAGTTTTCCAATCTGTGGCCTTTTTAGGAAACTTCAGATGATCTATAGTGTATGGGTCAAAGTAAATTAACCTGGCCAAAAGTTTGCAACATTACCAAATATCACAAGGCTTTGATACTCTTTCTTGAAATCTTACAGAATTTGGCATTTAAAGAGGTAATCCGCACTTTCATGCTATTTGGTGAGCTCACCTGATTTAAGCCATCACAACACATGCCTGTGTATACACATACACATAGTTTAAATTTCATTTTGGAATGCTACCTATAGGACATCACTTGTGACATGATATTGAAAAGCCCTATACTCCAGGGGTGAAATCTACTTACCTTCCCAACTGGTTCAGAAGTGTGCACATGCGTCATGGGCGTGTGTGAACCTCTGTGCATGCACAGAGGGTAAAAAATTACTGGGCTGGTGGGTGGAGCCTCATGCCGCCATCGCTACCGGTTTTATGAACCACCGACCACCATCGCTACCGGTTCAGCCGAACCAGTCTGAACTGGGAGCATTTCACCCATTATACTCCCAACTTCTGGTTTTATGTGGTGATCCCAAAAACCTTTCAGTGTACTGATTTATATAAAAGTACTGCTGGTTTTCATTACAGATACCAACAGTTTTTTTAAAAAAAGTAAAATAGTTTCACAATAGAATCCCTTATTATTCTAGTTTTGTTACATAGCTTTGTGAAAATCAGAAACTGCATGTATTATTTTTGTGGAAGAACTCCATATGTTCCATCAATTCCCAGATGATTCAAAGTTTCAATTAAGAGATATATTCAAGCTGTTATTCAGGGAATCCTGCAGTTCCAAGGACATTTAACTGGATTCCTCGGTAAGAAATAACAATAGATGCTTTCTTTTTTTAAGATAAAATATTGGCCTAATAAAAAATCTAAGCCTAATGAAATCAAGTTGTAATCAAGCTTAATGATGATCAAATGTTTGTTCTCTGTATGATAAAGTCATAGCTTTTGTATTGTAAAAAGAGAGCACATCTAGAGAAAGGCAACTGGGCTTTCTTGGTTTTTTTTTCATTTTGGTAGTTCATACAATACATTTAACCATAAAACAATGAACTAATTGCATAATATTCGTTAATGATTAGCATTACAATTTTGTTGAATTATAGTTTGTGATTCTGGGTGTTATACAAACCGGGGTATCCATTTGCTTTGCCAAATCAAAATGCAGCACCTGATCAAATTTTCATGTTTTTTTCAGTTAGCTTCCAGAAGATGCAACAGAATGAATGAATGTGTGATTCTGCATTACCAAGTGCAAAGCAAATACTTCAAAAGATGGATGGATGATCTAGATAGATAATTTACTAATTTATTACTCTTATGACCATAATAAAAAAAAATTATGTCATACTAAGGAAAAGTTTAGTTTCTCATTCATAACTTTCTCTAAAATTACTACATAGTTTAATCCTCATATTTATTTTCCTTTTACCGTTTCAATACAGAACAGCCAGCTTGTTTTGCCATATAACCAATGTGTTACCCAGCCAACTAGAACACATTTACTAAGAGATTCTAAAGATTCTAAAGATATTAACTTTTTCTGGAATCTCTGGGGAAACATTTAGTGTATGTTATGTGTGTGCATTTAAAGAGAGAATCTTATACTACTGTGTTTCCCCGAAAATAAGACCCTGTCTTATATTTTTTTTGAACCCTGAAATAAGAGCTTGGCCTTATTGCCATGAGCTCAAAAGCCCGATTGGGCTTATTATCAAGGGATGTCTTATTTTGGGGAAATCAGGGTACACGTGTGTATAGTGTAAGATCCTCTCTTTAAATTTCCCACTAAATCTTACCACTCTCCTCTCCTTAGACCATCAATTCACCTCACCCTGTCACACTCACCTAAAGTCTACACATCACACCCACATTTAACCTGGCCCCACAGCAGACTAACAATGTTGCTGATTATGTTATTGATACATTGGTACTGACTGTTGTTCTGTACACTGTTTAAAGTTATCTAACTGAAACTATCTATAAATTCATAAATACACTAACTTAAGCCTATCTCACTAATGAGTTATGAATTAGATGACGGCAATGTCATGGAGAGATGGCAAAACAAGGGACTAATATATTTATATATTTGGTTAGTTACTAGCTGCGACACAGCTTTACTGAGTCTGCAAAAACAGATTTAATGTTTAGAATAAACCTGGGTAAGTAAATTCTAAGAAGCCCAGATTAAAAAGGTTAAGGAGCTACCAAACTGTTCACATTTTACGAGTGACTTCCCTTGGGATATACTTCTCATGAAGGTATTCGACAAAGTAGACCACAATCTATTTCTTGGTAAGCTAGAAAAAAGTGGGATAGATAGCATCACCATCAGAAGGGTTTGTAATTGGCTAACAAAACGTACTCAACAAGTAGTCCTTAATGGTACTATGTCTACATAGAGGGAAGTAAGCAGTTGGGTACCACAAGGTTCCGTCTTAGACCCAGTACTCTTCAATATCTTCATAAATGATTTAGATGAGCTAATAGAAGAGGAACTTAACAAATTTGTGGATGATACCAAGCTGGCAGGAATAACCAACACCCTAGATGACAGGCTCAAGAACCAGATGAATCTTGACAGACTTGAATACTACGCCCTATCTAACAAAATGAAATTCAATGTATAGAAAAGTAAAGCCTTACACTTAGGCAAGAAAAACCAAAAGTACATATACAGACTGGGTCAAACCAGGCTTAATAGTAATAACTGTGAAAAGGATCTTGAAGTCTTAATGGGCTCCAATTAAATATGAGCCAATAGTGTGCGGCAACAGCCAAAAAAGCCAATATAATCCTAAATTGCATTAACAGAGGGATACAATAAAGATCAAGTGTACTAATACCATTCTATAAAGCCTTAGTAAGACCACACCTAGAATATTGTATGCTGTTTTGGTCACCACACTATAAAAAAGATGTTGACACTCTAGAAAATGTGCAGAGAAGAGCAACAAAGATGATTAGGGGCCTGGAAGCTAAAACATATGATGAATAGTTGCAAGTACTCGCCATGGCTAGTCTAGTGAAGAGAAGAACTAGGTGAGACATCATAGCAGTGTTCTAATATTTGAGGGGCTGCCACCCAGAGGAGGGGGCCAAGCTATTTTCCAAAGCACCCGAAGGCCAGACAAGAAATAATAGATGGAAACTGATCAAAGAGAGATCCAACCTAGAAATAAGGAGAAATTTTCTAACAGTAAGAACAATCAACCAATGGAACAGCTTGCCTTCAGAAGTTGTGGGAGCTTTATCACTGGAAGCTTTCAAGAAGAGACTGGACTGCCATTTGTCTTAAATGGTGTAGGGCCTCCTGCTTGGGCAGGGGGTTGGACTAGATGACCTACAAGGTCCCTTCCAACTCTGTTAATCTGTACAGGACATAAAAAGAAGTTTTAATTTCTCAATACTCAAATAGAAGTCAATTAAAAGCAGCTATTCTATTTTTAAGAAATGTGATCGCTTTAATTCTAATTAATTAAAATAGATCCTAGAAACATAAAGGAAAAGGTTGTTCTAGTCAAATATTTTGCTTAGTGCAGGAATACTAACACAATTCCTGTAAAATGATCCAAAAGATGGTCACCATCTTTAAAAGCAGCTCTTACCATTAGGACATTCTTCTGATGTCCAAATAAAATTATTTCCTTGGAATTTAAATCCATGGATTCTTGTTTTGTCTTCTGGAATAATGCAGACAACTATGTGCCATCTTCTACACAAAAACCCTTCTGCTACATAAATACCACTATAGTGGCTTTGTAGCCTTCTCTTTTCCATGTTAAACTTTGCCAGTACTGCCAACTGTACCTTGTGTTTCCTTTGGGGTCTCTCGTCACTTCCCTTGGTGTCTTCTGAATACAGTCAGTTCGACACTTAATACTTCCCCTTTGCTTCCTGGAGAACAGTATGTAAATGCAATATGAATGTTCAGCTAATGACAGCATAGTTAACACCCATTATGCCATCTTCTCTATGAGAATATCATGAGAGATTGTCAAATATTAATCAGGATGTTTAGTGTTTTTATTGTTTTAAAATGTTAGTAGTATTTTAATTGTAATATTTGTATCTTTCCTGAATTTAAGTCTCTCAGACTGAGATGGGGATAGCTTTAGAAATTGAATAAATAAACCATGGGGGTCAAACTCAAGGCCTGGAGGCCTGATCCGGCCCACGGGGTGCTTAGATCTGGCCTGCGGGGCTGCCCTGGAAACAGCAAAGGACTGGCCTGTGATGCCTCTGCCAGCACAAACAGAGCTCAGGAGGGCTGCATGCGGCCCTCCCGAGCTCTGTTTGTGCTGGCAGAGGGTTGCAAGAGGCCATTTCAGCTGGAAACGGAGCCTGGGAGCCCATTTTCGCTGGCAGAGTGTTCGGGCCACCACAGGCACCCCGACGTGACTGACGTCAAGTTGCCTACGCCCACTCTGGTCCCCCGAGGTCAAACACAACCCTAATGCGGCCCTCAATGAAATAAAGTATGACAACCCTGAAATAAACAAATAAATATTTTGCTAAAATCAATGTACTTACATTTCTGTGGTCAAATAAATTAGGCACACTGTCTAAGAGGATAAGGTTATTCTTGATGAATCCACAGATGCCTGCAAAGGAATCCATTTTTTTCTAACTGGTACGGTAGATAAATATATATTCTATGTTATGTATCTATGTATGTATAACTTGTTCAGAATACTGCATGTATGTGATGCAAGTAAAATTTAATTTTACCCAAACATTTATTCAAAAATGGATGTTAGAACTTTAATCCACTTGAGCATTCTTATATGTGTTAGGTTCAGTTGTCAGTATAGAAAACTTTCAGAGGTACTATCATTTTATTTCCTAATAATTTTAGATTCTACAAATCTGTTCAGACAAGCAAATATTCATATGAATGTACCCCTTCTGTAACCATTCTGCCCTTGAAATTTTACTTACCATATTGGTGTCATACATTGTACACTTGAGAATAAGCAGGTTTTACTGTTTATTTTATGCAGAATGCTAATTATTCAGCTCTTAAAGTCTTACAAAATTGTAGCTCCCCTAGAAGCAGTCTGGTTTAGTCTTAAACCAGATTAGATTATTTCTCTATGTAATCCACTTTTTCATAGTCATTCATATTGGGAACAGACATCCAGATGAATCTTATATCAGAGAGAAAGAGAGGGGGCAGGGGAAAGGGTATTAGATACCATTTTTCTTGAAATGCATTAGAATCTTCCCCCCCTCCCCGTTCCAGGGATTTCCCCCTTTATCTAGATAATAAGTTCTATACCAAGAAAGTTAGTTTTATAGCTAGAACATGGACTAGACTATAGCTAGAGACAAAGCCAATCTGATGTCCTGTTGTTATTTATTTGTTCAATATATAAGCTTTATTATATAACAAATTAAAGCAACAAAATAAGAAAGCAACAAAGTAAGAAACCACACACACACACACACTCTCTTTCTCCCTTTCTCTTTTGAATTCTTTTTAAAAAAATGATAGGATAGGGCTTTGAAGTTTGGGCACTATGGGGAACCAGAAGAAACTAAAGATTACATTTAAAGGCGAAGAATTCTTAAATTTGATTTTACTAGTAAAGAATGGAGCAAAATATTTTAAACTTCTTAAAATTTGGAAAGATTTTATGAAAATGGACAAAGAAATGAAAAGAAATCAAATTCTAGGACATTATTTGAAAAGATTAAAGATCAGTTAAAAGTAAAAGAAAGAAATATGTAGTTGATTAAAATTAGATACAGTGCATTCTCTGGTAAATCTTAGGAGACTTGTGATCAGGACTGAAAAGGATTTAAGGATTCAATTATAGATAAGAAACAACATTTGGGGAAAAGATCATTCATGGCATTTTTTAAAGTTACTAAATTGTTTATACTTGTGTTTTTTTAAAAAAGTTATTTATATATATTTATTTTTATTTACTATATTCTTATTTTTCTTTATTTTCTGTTTTCCTTTCTATTTTTTTTTTCATTTGTATTACTTTTTATCTTTTCAGCTGTAATGTTTAATAAAATAACTTGATAGTACAGTGGTCTAAGCACCCTGTTATTAACACAGCTGCCTGCAATTACTGCTGGTTCGAATCTCTCCAAGGCTCAAGGTTGACTCAGCCTTCCATCCTTTCTAAAGTAGGTGAAATGAGGACCCAGTTTGTGGGGGCAATAAGCTGACTTTGTATAAATATACAAAAGTATGAAGGCTATTGCTTAACGCATTGTAAGCCGCCCTGAGTCTCCGGAGAAGGGCGGCATATAAATCAAATTTTTTTAAAAAAACTATATAAAATAGATTTAATAGAGGCGGCAAATATAATTGCAGAGAGGCAGTCCCTCCAGAAAAGCGTATTTTGTATAGCTGTATAACTAAGCCTAGCAAAAAAGCAACTCATGCCGTATTGATCAACTGATTTGTCTTCAGAACAGAACACAAACAGACTAACAAAATACTGCACACTTTTCTGACTAGGCTTCTTAATAGACTTACAGATTAAAACTGGCAATATATCTGCCAAATGCAACCAAGAATCCAAAATATTTTGGCAGTTTCAAAGCTCGAATGGAAAGATACACTGCCTGGAGTGCACCCATGTGGTACAGGTATTCCTCGTTTACTGACTGCATTTAATGACCATTCCAAATTATGATATAATAAACTAAAAGCTTCGTGACCATGACATCACTCCATTACTGCTGTTAGGATGCTTCACAAATGGTGCACATTTATGACAGTTTCCTCTGGTCACGTGATTCCTGTTTGTGTGCTTCATAACCAGCTTCAGAAAGAAGAGTTAATGAAGAACACGGGAAATAAAACTGCAGGTTGCACTCATGCGATACTTCACTTAATAACTGCGGTGACTCGCTTAACAACTGAATGGAAAGTGACACTGTAAATCAGGCGCAGTCATGTGATTTATGCTTACCAACATGGTGATTGAAATTGCTGGTCCCAATTGTGGTTACTAAGCATTTTTTTTATAAACACTTTATTAAACTTTTATTACATTAAAAACATAAAAAATTTCACTCAACAGCAGCTGAGGTATTTTTCTTGTGACAATAATTTGTGCATTATTTACAAAAATTAAATTATGCATATTTACATTCAGCCAAATCAGAGGAGGAGGCGGTGGCGTGGGAGTCAGAGTCAACATCAAGGTAACCTGAGAGCTCTGAGGGGAAAGAGGGAGTGGAGCTGACAGAGAGAGAGAAAGAGGCGGAGCCTGGTCTGTCCATCAGCCCTCAAATGGAGAGTCAACAGCCTCCAGGTCTGGAAGTGGCTGATGAGGAAGAGGACAAACAGCTAGATCCAGTGCCTGACGCATGGATGTGAAGAAGGCAGAGGAGAGGAGAGCAGTGGAAATCCATGGGCTGATCCTTGGGAAGGAAGAGCCACCACTGCTAGCAAAGCCCCATCCTAGTTCTGGGGATAAAAGGCAGGGGGCGGAGAGGAATAGATGTGGCAGACCACTATTCATCTTTGGACTGGACGGACTTGTTAGTCTGCGGTGAGAGAGAAACTTTTCACTGGGGCTGCCGGCGCTCCTTATAAAGGAATCTTTGAGTTAACTTCAGAGGGTATGTCGTGTTTGGGGAGCTGGGTCCGAACAGGTTATATAAGTCTAAGTGCAATTGCTATTAAAGAGAAATAGAAGGACATGCACCAAACAAAAGAAAATATTAAGTCCACATACGTTTGTTAGAAAGCCTTAATGCTAGTATACAGGTAGTCCTCAACTTAAAACAATTTACAACAGCACTGAAAAAAGTGACTTATGACCGTTTTTCACACTTACAACAATTGCAGCATCCTCACAGTCATGTCATCAAAACTCGGATGCTTGGCAACTGACACATTTTTATGACGGTTACAGTGTCCCAGGGTCATGTGATCCCCTTTTGCGACCTTCTGACAAGCAAATTCAATGAGGAATCCAGATTCACTGAACAACTGTGTTCTTAACTTTTAACAACGGCAGTAAGTCACTTAACAACTGTGGCAAAAAAGTCATAAACTGGGACAAACTCACCTAACAACTGTTTCACTTACCAACAAAAATGTTGAGCTCAATTATGGTCATAAGTTAAGGACTCCCTGTACTTTGAAGGAAAAAAAATAACCTTCTTCGGGCAATTATGAATGATGGAAATGTCCTTTTATGATAAATACATTGAAGTACCTTAACAGTTTCAGATTAAATATGCACACATTAGGAACACATTAACCAGCATGAGACAAGATCAAAGCAAAAGCTTTTATATGTACAGTTTCTGTTGTTTATCTCTGCACTGATAGCCACAGCTGAGTTTCATTAAGAATGTTTAATCATGTCTTGTACTTTCAAAGCATAGTTCTGACCCTATAACTTAATAGTAACCATGCTGAACAAATACTTTCTTTCCTTACTAAAATGACAATAGGTTTGTCACATACCTACCAAGATAGTATATATAATATGTTGTTAAATTATTTATCCTGCTTGATCACACTACTTCAGATACTAGCATTAGCAATAAGACTTAGATTTATATAGTGCTTCATAGTGCTTTACAGCACTCTCTGAGTAGTTTACAAATGTCATCGTATTGCCCTCAAAAATCTGGGTCCTCATTTTATCTCACTTTATTTGGAAGTTTAAAGAAAATTTTAAAGAAAGATATATTTTTTTTTTTAGTAAAGAGAAAAGCAAAATAATTCATTGTTTATTTTACCTGCTTGACATTACAATAGATCTGTTAAGAACGCATGTTTGGGCACAGTTTGTTGACTGTTCAAAAGGAGCTCAAGTAATATCAAAGGATTGAAACTCAGCCTATACACTATTAGAATGCAGACTATCTACTCACTTGTCCGCAATCTAGTTTCCCTATTGGGCTGGTTTCTGGATCACCACCTTAGCTTGAAAAAGCTAGTAACGTTAACGAATACAATCTACCAATACCTTATGAATAATTATACAATAGGGTATAGTAGTAAACAAATTTATGGGTCTGCTCTGCCCATTTATTGTGGCTATTCCTTTAATAAAACGTTGCTATGTGCATGCCGGTAGGTGAATAGAATAGAATAGCATAGAATAGAATAGAATTTTTTATTGGCCAAGTGTGATTGGACACACAAGGAATTTGTCTCAGTGTACATAAAAGATATGTTCATCAAGAATCATAAGGTACAACACTTAATGATAGCCATAGGGTACAAATAAGCAAACAGGAAACAACATCAATATAAATCGTAAGGATACAAACAACAAAATTACAATCATACAGTCATAAGTGGAAGGAAATGGGTGGTGGGAACACTGAGAAGATTAAAGTAGTGCAGACTTAGTAAATAGTTTGACAGTGTTGAGGGAATTATTTGTAATTACAGTCATTTGTTTCAGAACAGAAAGGTACCATTGGTTAATTTTAACTATTATTAAAGAGCAAACGTTAGGTACTGGCTATGCCCAGGACGCTAAAGGTCATTTTCGCCTACCTGGAGTCTTTCAAATATACTGAAACGACAACTCTGGCCATTCTCAACCTGTCCTTTGGCCGAAAATTTAGATAACTGCATTCCCAAAAGACTTGGGAAGGCACCAAATTTAATTAATTTTAAGAGGCGATCGCATTCTGCTCTGTACGGTAAATTCCCGAGGCTAATAAAAATCAGGCGAGCAAACCCAGCCAAGACCGCCTTACGAAAAAAGATAAAACCCATACAAACACGTGGGCGCTATTACAACTTCACCCACCCGCCCACTGAAAATTGGCTCCAGCTAGCTAGGAAATAGCTGCAGTTTGTGACGTAAGCCACGCCCTTCGCCCCCCCCCCCCGCCCGTATCCGACTGCGCACTTTGATCCTTCGGCTGCTGGCGTTCTCCTGGGTGTGACGTCATTTCATTCATTCTCAGTTCGAAGGAGGAAAGAGGGAGAGTTTTGAACCGATACGAAAAAGGGAGCCTACGTCGCTTTGATAGCTACCCCTATCGGTAAACACTTTCAAACGCATCCATTCATTTCAAGGCACAGCTTTCGGTTAAATGAATCGATGCCAGAGGCAGATTTTATTTTTTAAAAAATCGCTTTTCAGTGCCAAGATTTCTACCTATCGAATATTCTTTCGACCGACTGTTCAATAGACAATAGCCCCCCCCCGCCTCCCCCGTTTCCTGAATCTTAGTGGTGCAGTCCTTTTTGATATTCCGCTAGGAATCTATCTGCCTCGGGCGAGTGCAAGAAGTGTGGATGCTTCTGGGTCTTAAAGTCCATTGATTTTAAGTATGATATTGCTTTCCCATGGGCAGGAGTTGAGACAGAATTGTTTTTTTGCATACATATGGTCCTTAAATACACTGCTCAAAAAAATAAAGGGAACACAAGCAGAAGACATCCAATATCTGAATGAATGAAATAGCCTTATTAAATACTTTATTCGTTACATACAGTAGTTTTGTGTTCCCTTTAGTTGTTTGAGCAGTGTATAAACTACTGTATGTAAAGAACGAAGTATTTAATAAGGCTATTTCATTCATTTAGATCTTGGATGTCTTCTGCTTGTGTTCCCTTTATTTTTTTTGAGCAGTATATTTATCTATGAATGTTAAACAACCAAGGGGGCATGGTTGCCCTGATCCTGCTCCATCTTAGATATTACCAGTAGAAACTTATATGATCAGAGTTCACTTCATCAAAAGGAGTGAGGAAGGGAGCTGTTACTCACAGAACTATATGCATTTAATAAAAGTTGTTAAGTCTGAAAGGTGCTATCAGATTCCTGGTCTTTCTAGGGTACGTCAAAAAGTCTAGGGTACGTCAGGCTATATCAAAAGGTCTCTATAAACCCAATCTGTACTTAACACATAACAGTTTTAATACATTTCTTATCAAACATTTTAAGAATTCATGACTACAGAAAAGGAAAAAGAAAATAAGAAAGAAAAGACATAGTGGAGGGAAAATAAAATACCACTAAATAAACAGATTTGCAATTGTCACAACATTTAAAATTTATCACTTCATTGATTAAATAAAACATTTCTTTTACAACTTTGTCTAAAATTATACCTTGGGTTAAATTTTATTGAATTTTTCCATCAGTCTTCCAATTGTTGCATTGCGTTTGTTTAAAAACTTGAATCCAAGAATCTTTATTTATTCTGTCTCTGTCATATTTAACAGCAATTTACATATATGCAGTACAGGTAGTCCTTGATTTACAACCATTCATTTAGTGACTTAAGTTACAACAGCACTGAAAAAAAGTGACCTATCGCCAGTTTTCACACTTATGACAGTTGCAGCATCTCCACTGTCATGTGATCAAAATTTGGATGTTGGCAACTGGCATGTATTTATGACAGTTGCATTGTCCTTGGGGTCATGTGATAACCATTTATAATCTTCCCATTTGTAATCTTCTGACAAGCCAAGTCAATGGGGTAAGCCACATTTGCTTAATGACATGATTTGTTTAACAACTGCAGTGATTCGCTTAACAACTGTGCCAAAAAAAGTCACAAAATGGAGCATAACTCACTTAACAACTACCTTGTGTAGCCACAGAAATTTTGGGCTCAATTGTGCTGTAAGTCAAGGACTACCTGTATCCTAATTTGTCTGCCCACCTACCCTACTTGGCATAATGCCACACTGCGCTTTCCAAATTTTGCTCGTTGTTCCTTTCTCATAGCTTTCAATCAGAATTCTGCCAAACATTCCCAGACATATTCAAGTTAATCCCCCTGAAGCTTTTGCATTCATTCTTGCTTATTTCCCCTTTGCATAGGGGAACAGTAATGGCATTCCACCAGACCTCAGGCACAGATGCAGACTTCACCCATACATTAAACCAGGGATCTCCAACCTTGACAACTTTAAGCCTGGTGGACTTCAACTCCCAGAATTCCCCAGCCAGAGTTGAAGTCCGCCAGGCTTAAAGTTGCCAAGGTTGGAGACCCCTCCATTAAACAACCCACATAGCCACTTCATATGAAACCCACATCCATATTTTAACCTTTCTCCAGTTACAATTGCACTTTACAATTGTTCAAGTGTCTTACATCATTTTTTCCATTTTTGTTTTCTTGAGCACTATTATTGATTGATTACATGCCATCCAGCAGTGTCAGCTCTTAGCAACCACATAGATAGACCTTCTCCAGAATAAGAGTCTGACATTAATACGGTAGCATTCAATTCAGTTTGACTCATCAGCATATCACTTCCATACAAATCTCTAAAATGGGGAATTGGCATTCTGTCATTTCAGTTTTATCCCAAGTAATTTCATCACTTTTATTTTAGTAAAACATTCACTTTGCAGAATTCCTCATCCATTCTTTTACCTCCTTCCAAAACATATTTTCATCAAAATTGCTCTGCATTTTCCAACCCAACTGATTTTTTTTCTTATGACTCAACATAATGCTTTTTATCTAAGCTTCCTTTCTTGCTGCCACAAGGTACTTCTGGTTCTTTAGCTTCATTTGTAGCATTACTGGCATACATGGCATTTTCATGCAGTTTTAGGTTATGTCACATTCTTTCTCTCTCTCTCTCTCTCCCTCCCTCCCTCCCTCTCTTCATTTGTCTCGGAAGGCATGTGTGTGTCCTTATGATTCTTTTTATCCAAGATAATGTCCCAATTGCTGATGCCAAAGAAGAAAAAGTTGACAAATTGTTGAAATAGACAAAATATGCAAGCAAAATATGTTGCGTGTAGTTGGAGATTGAATTGCAAAAGTTGGAAATAGTAAGGAGGAAAATACAGTTGGGCTATATGGGCTAGGACAGGGGTCAGCAACTGGCAGCTCTGGAGCCGCATGTGGCTCTTTCATCCCTCTGCCTTGGCTCCCTATCGCCAGTTGGCTCCACAATTATAGGGCTTTCAATTAGGACAAGTAGAGGAAAAAGGATGCCGTGCTAGGAGGAGACTCTATGGTGGAGGAACTGGACTTCCGGTTGGTAGAGGAAAAAGGACGCCATGCTAGAAGGAGACTCTATATAGTGGGGGGAACTGGACTTCTGGTTGGCTCCAGAATTGAACAGGGGGCTTCCGGTTAGGACCTTTGTGGCTCTTTGAGTGTTTAAGGTTGCCGACCTAGCCTTCCTGGGCTAGGAAATAGAAATAAAGCAGAACTGCATACCAGAACAGAGTACAGACTGTGAAGAAGAGAGGGGAGGGGAGAGGGCAAAAAAGTCAATGTTCTCATGAAGGACCTTAACAAAGGATGGGATGGGATAGGATAGGTTTATTTGACCAAATGTGAATAGACAAACAAGGATTTTGTCTCTGGTGTAGAAGTTCTCAGTATACATGAAAAACAACATAGTAATAATAATCATAATAATGATACCAATAAGTGGGGGTAGTAGAAAAGATGAAAATAATAATAATAATCATATAAAGCCATAGACATCTGTTAAAAAAGACAAAGAAGTCATACAAAGAAGTCGTCCTACAGTAATAGTAGTACAATGACATCTGTAAGAACATCAAAGGTGGAAACAGACACCTTTCTGAGGTTGTCTTTGGGAAACCTCTCCAACCTCATTAAGTTAGAATGCTACAGATAATGTACAGATAGTAACCAATGAAAAGAAGATAGAAAGAGAATATTGAAATTGTGTAGGTAAAATTTTATTTATTTATTTATAATTCATATTTGTATACCGCCCTATTCCCGAAGGACTCAGGGCGGTGAACAGCCAGAATAAAATACAAAGACATACAAAAGTCAAAAAACTATTAAAAACAGATTAAATAATTTAAGCTCAAAGAACAAATTAAGACATCCAATTTATCTAAAAAACATTTAAAAGCCAATTTAAAAGCCAATTTAAAAGGCTTTTTAATATTTAAAAATATGCCCTAGAAGGGGGGTTTTATAAAACCCATTATATAAAAAACTCTAATACTAGAAAATGAAATTGTATCAATTCTCTGATCATCACATTAAAGCTACAGGGACTGCTAGAATATCCACAGAAATACGGCAAGGAACAGAAAAACCAGTTAAGGTTCTAACAAAATTATGTCAGCAAATTGGGAGAATGACACAATGGCAACAGATTGGAAGAGGACAGTTTATATTACCAATACCAAAGAAAGATAATACCTTTAATTTCACATGCTAGTAAAATAAGGGAGAAAAAGAAAGATACACCCAGTTGAATGCAGAATTCCAGAGAATAACTAGAAGAGATAAGAATGAATTCTTAAATGAACAGTGCAAAGAAATAGAAGAAAACAATAGAATAGGGAGGACCAGAGATCTCTTCAAGAAAATTGGAGATATGAAGGGAACGTTTCGTGCAAAGATGGGCATGATAAAGGACCAAAGTGGCAGGGACATAACAGAGGCAGAAGCGATTAAGAAGAGGTGGCAAAATTACACAGAAGAACTATACAGAACAAGCTTAACATCCCTGATAACCACGATGAGGTGGTCACTGACCTCGAGCCAGACATCCTAGAATGTGAAGTCAAATGGGCCTTAGGAAATCTGAGCAACAACAAAGCTAGTGGAGGTATTCAGCTGAGCTACTCCAAATCTTAAAAGACGATGCAATAAAAGTGCTATACTCAATTTGCCAGCAAATTTGGAAAACTCAACAGTGGCCACAGGATTGGAAAAGGTCAGTTTACATTCCAATTCCAAAGAAAGGCAATGCCAAAGAATGTTCAAACTATCGCACCATTGCACTCATTTGACATGCTAGTAAGGTTATGCTTAAAATCCTACAAACTAGGCTCCAGCAGTATGTGGATC